TCAGGAGTTGGGTGGATGTTTCTGCCCCCATGTGGTGGTGATGGCTGAGGAGGAGGAGGAGGGGGGGGGGGGGGGGGGGGGGGGGGGGGACTCCCGGCGCTGCACCCCAGCACCCGTCCTGGCCCGGGGCCTCTACCTGATCACCGCGGAGGCGGACGCGGCCAGCAGGCCGAGGGCAAGCAGCAGGACGCCGGGGGTCTGCATGGTGGCGGCGACCGGGGACGGTGAAGTCAAGCGCCTAAGGTCGCGCGCTTATAGTCTGGATGACGGCGCAGTCAGGCCGGGTCAGCTGACCGGCTTGTTTGCTCCGGCAGGTCACGTGGGGAGAGGGAACGGGGCGGGGCCGGGAAAGGACGACTCTGGATCCGCCTCCGATCCCAGGCGCGCGCCGTCCCAGGGTCGCGCACGGTACCCGGGAGCGCGTCCGCCGACGTTCCCGGGACCGGAGAATTAGAGGATGTGAGTCACGTGGGGAGAGAGGCCGCGTCCATACCCGGCCTTCGGCCGCGGCCCCGCCCCCACCTTCTTGCTTGCAGAACCCGGGTTCCCAGCACCGAGATGTCGCCACATTTCGGTTGTTCCCTGACCTCCGGGCACCCGGGGTCTCCACCCTGTCCTCTGGGGAACAGCCTAATCCCTAGCTTCCTGTTTCCCTGGCAGCTCCCTTTCTCCTTGACAGTCTCCCAGTAACCCATCCACTTGGACAGGCCTCATCCACCTTCTCCAGAGGCCCACTATCCGCTGACCACCTCCCCACACCCTGAGCACTTTTCCCTCAGGGTGGAACTTGCAGACCCATAACTAAGTAGTACATCCCCTGCAGGCCTAGCCCAGAGACCATGCATCCAGTGAGAAAGGAAACAGATCCCCAGTACCACCAGTGGCCTCCAGACTCTGAGGGTGCTGCAGTAAGAGGAGGCCAGGGTGGTGTCTGACTGCCCCTCAGGACTTAATTAGCTCACTCCTTAATGCCCTGCTCGGTGCCAGCAGCAGGTTTAGGCTGCTGTTGGAGAGAGGCAGGGTGCATCCCCACACCATGGGGAGCTCACAGCCCAGAGAGGCATAGAAGGGGAATTGTCCTCTCTGAGAGGTGATGTCCAGCCAGGCACAGGAACACTGAGAACCTTGCAGGGGTCTGGTCCAGGTAGTTCTGCCAGTGCCGGAGAGGTAGACGGCTCTGGCCCCACTCTACAGGGGGGATGCAAACTGCTCTGGTTCCCACCAGTAAGGGCTGAAATTCTCACTAAGTTGGATCCTTGGCCCCCACCGAGGATCTCCACCCCTGGTCAGTGTGATGGCCACAAGCGAGTGACTGTAGCCTAGGCTCTGCCTCTACAGCCAGCACAGCATACCATATCACACGTGTATACCCCTAGCTGCGAGGCAAGGTCACTCTCTACCCTTGGAATCTGACTGTTAACTCCTTTGGGTCCAAGACTGTCCTCAGGTAGCTCAGAGACAGGACCAGGCACTTGGAGTTGCTACTTTCTTCTCCAGGGCCGCTCTCTAGAGATGGCTTCTGGGGCCTACATGGGCCAGGTGAAGGGTCCCCTGAGGGCTCCAGCCCTGCTGTGGACAGAGTGTGTTGTAGGGTGTTCATGTGCCGGCACAGGCATCTATGAGATGGCCAGGCCACTGAAGGGAGTGGACATTGTGAATGGTCAGCACGACCAGAGGCAGACCATGGCAGTTAGCTGTGGTCGTGTGTGAGGCCGGTATAAAGGCACAAGGTAAGAGGCCTGGACTGTCACTGCAGCTGGAAAAGACCCCCAGAGACTGTCTGCAGTCTGTTCTCTGCAAAGAATGTTCTGGCTGCCTCTATCCCCAGGTTTCCCCATTCCTGACACATGGTAGGCATTTTCTAATCCATGTGGACAAATGCCTGGATGCACCCAGGGGCCGGCACGTGGAACCTGGGAGGCTTGGGTGGAAGTTGAAGGGCATGGCTTCTGGTCCCTCCTCAGCTCACAAAGCCCAGGGGTGGGCCACAGTTTCTAGAGCTGCTTGTGCCCCCCTGACCCCTGCTTGGCTCAGACCCCCAGGTCCCCTGCCCTTGCCAGGCTGATGGAACCACTGTCCACACCAGGCTTGCCTTCAGTGCTCTCCATCCAGTAAGGGGTGGGGTACAACATGTTCAGGCCCTAAAGTTCTGTGTTGAGTCTGCCACCTTTGGTCTGGGGACACATTTGGCAGGGCCTACTTGTGACCCTTACTGACTACACCATGTGTTGACCCCGGTGGAGTTAGGCCAGTGCTTTCATTTCTGACAAAACAGAGGGGTTTCTCAGAATCCCAGGGGCCCCCAGCCATAGCCGCCGCACATTATAGAGACTCTGACTTTATTTGGTGAAGAGAGTGTAGAGGTGGGTGGGGGAGGCCAGCCTGGATATGCGGCCTATGCAGTCACAGCCCCGGGGCAGGTGGTGGTGGTGGGGAGGGGTGCTCCCAGGGACAGAATGGCCTGGCTCCTCCCTAAAGACGGGCCCTCAGTTGGGGGGGTCTCCCCAGCTCCCTCCCTACGCCAATCCTCTCCTGGTCATTTGACAGAGTGGTCAGACAAGAGGGAAGCAGGCAAGCACCCTCTCGTTGTGGGGCCACCCATTGCTTAGAAACCATTCCCAGCCTTAGATCTTCAGGTGAGAGTCCAGAAACCATCTCCATGGCCCCCACACCAGTCTCCCAGGGCCCCTCCTGCCTTGTGGGCGAGGCCCTCTGGACCCCCCAGTGCCCATGCATTCATCTTGGGCTTACTGTTCACACGATTATTGAACACCTGCTGCACACCAGGCTCTGCTCTGGGTATTGGGAAGAGGGCGCAGTGCAGAAATTCCTGTCCTCCTGGAGAGAGCCCACACTCGAGATGAGAATGGATATAACAGGAATTGGGCAGTTCATGCAGGCTTCGAAAGCCGGTGCACAGATGTGGTGTTGCAATCACAGCAGTCTTGTTTGAGTAGCTCTGGGAGGTGATGGATCAAAGAACTGGACAAGAGCCAGGGAGGTGGACAAAGGACAGCACACAGGAGAGACTGGGCGGTAGCTCGATCCTTGGCCTGGGGAAAGAGGGAGGAAAGGGACAAGTGGAGAGTGAACAAGAGCACCGGGCCTCCTGGGTCGCGATGAGCTGGTGGCCCAGGAGAGGAAGGAGGCCGACTGGGATGGAGCAGCTGTCCAGGTGGAAGCCCACAGTGGAGCCTGGACCATGAGGTAAGGAGAAACAATCAGCTTCTGTCCTGTGGGATTTCTTGGTGGGTCACACTAGCATGTGATAGGCCAGAAACAACTGGACCACCGTCATCCAGTTGGCCAAGAGGGACACTTCAGGAGGAAGGGACCTAAGGAAAAAGACCAGGTACTCCACTTTGCATGGCCGGGTCTTTAGAGCACGCCTGAGGCATTGGTGAGTGGTGAGGAGTGACAGTGGCTGTTTGAGTTGGGAGTCCAGGAGAGGGGTTCACCAGAGACAGAAGTGGGTGTGTTATCCCAACTCAAGGTTTCATCCCAGTCTGGCTGAAGGGAACCAAGGGCTGAGTGTGCAAAGTCCGAAGTGTGTACACAGAAGAGGGGTAGGGTTAGAGCCCCAGTGACGTAGGGGGGGACCTGGCAAGGGACACCGAACAGAGACAGGTGCTAAGAGGAGTTCCTGAGTGATCTGAAGAAAGTATCCTCAGAGAAGAAGTGTTCACGGGTCAGCTGCCGCTGCCGACACACAGGGGAAGACAGGAGACCGCGGGCTTGGCAATCTGACCCAGACACTAGTCATCTCAGTGAAGTGGGGGACTGACTGTTGCATTCAGTCATCAAGACAGAGTAGTGTTGACAGAAGAGTGGGTGGAAGGGAAGGGAGAGTCTCACCCTTGTGCCCTTCAGCTGATAGGAAGCTCAGAGAAAAGATAATCTTCTGAATAAACTGTAACCATGGGGAGCTGATGGTCGCTTCTTCACACCCTGCAGAACGATCAGTCAGAAATGCAAAATGCGCTGGAGATACGTCAAAGGCAAACACTTAGGGGAAAGGGGAGACAAAGACAGCTTTCTTTAAGACTTGGGAATAAGCAAAGATTTGTTTCAATGCCAGATTTAGTAATCCCTGTACTTGGGAAGGTTATGTAAGAGGATTGTGGGTTCTAGGCCAGTCTGAGCTACATAACAAGTCCTAGGCCAGATCTGACCTGCAGTGTAAGACCTTTCCCTTAGATAAAAAAATAAATAAAATAAATAGGATCGCTAGGCAAGGTGGCACACGCCTTTGATCCCAGCACTCAGGAGGCAGAGGCAGGTGGCTCTCTGTGAGTTCAAGGCCAGCCTGGTCTACAGAGTGAGTTCCAGGACAGCTGGGGCTGCAGGGAGACCCCGTCTCAAAAAGACCGAAAAAAGAGAGAAGCAGCAGAAAAAAATAAAATCAATAAAACAATAATGTTCAACTAGTCGGAACAGTCACACGACCCAAGAAGAGCTTGCAAAGACGATTATTCATATGACCTGATGCCTGGCACCTGACGTCACCAGGGAATTACAGGCAGGAACAACAGTAAGATATTACTGCACACCTACTAGGTGGCCCAGATCCAAACGGGTGCCTCTGCCAGTTGACGGCTGGCCACTCGTTTGGTAGAGATGCGGAATGACGCAATCACCTGGAGGGCAGCATGGCCTTCCCTTACAAAAGCCAATGTTCTTGTATCATGCAACCCAGCATTGTTCTCCCTCGTTGCTTACTCAAAAGTTGAACACTGAGCTGCCAGGCAGGGAGAAGAACTGTGACTGAGGTCCTAGCATGGAGACCAATGACTGAGGTCCCAGGGTTGCAGTCTATGACTGTGGTCCCCAGCTTGTTGCAGAGGCAGGAGGATGGATAATTGGAGGTCAGTCCTGACTAGGTAAACCCTGTCTCAAAAAACAAAAAACATTGTTCACACAGAGATTGGCACACACCAGAAGGTGGGCACCGGATGGTGGAGTTTAATTTGCAATGACCCAAGCCTGGAAACAGCTCAGCTGTCTTTCACGTGGAGGTGGATAATTGAGGTGAGCGCCCCCTCATGGTGGGACAGGATTCAGTGTGAAGAAAGAATCAAACCGTGGACTCATGACCTGGTGATCCAGAGATGTGTATTGCTAACTGGAAAGGTCAAGGAATGGAGGCAGTGTAGACTCTGGGGAGGGAAGGAGGGTCGAGGGAGGGAGGGAGGGGTGGAGGAGGGAGGGAGGAGGATGAACAGGTGGGGCCCAGGGCCCAGGACCACTCTTCTGTCTGACATTGATGGTGCAAATGTGACATTACACATCTATCCAGACTTGTAGGAGATACAGTACCAGAGTAACCCTGCTGTCTATGTACCC